GCATCACCGCACCTGCTGTGGACAGGGAAACTGGGCAACACAAAAATGTTATGAGTTTTCGGATGCATGGTACAATACCGCCCGCACACTGCAAGAGCCGGAATATTTTCCCAACGCGCACAGTGGGGACTACACCTGGGCATCGAGAAGCATTACAATGCATGGAAGATTTTTGACGTCCACTCGAAGGAAACAGTAGCAGCACGTGATGTCATTTTCTACGAGCGACTCACACTACAAACGTACCTGGACAACCTGGCAGCAAATCGAGACCTCACGGGCGGCTTCCATGGCAACCGAGCCTTCGATTCAGCAGCAGACGAAGCTGACTGGGACGAGCAGAACGTGGACGGAGCTTCGGAAGAAGCCGGACCTCTCCCGTATTGCTCTGTGAACATCCCCATGGACGACGACAACCCTCGCGAAAGTGTCAACGCCGAAACCTACTTCGACTTCGCCGACACCGGTTACGTTACACCCCAACCGGTCGACACCAACGTCTCCGAACGCATAGGACCCAACTTCCTCCCAGACACAGAAGCGGGAGATGAAGCAGCTTATCCAGAGGACTGAAATCTCCCCCGCTACACACAGAGTGGACTGCAGATGCTAGGACTCGTCACCGCTGTCCACGGAGCAGCACCACCTAAGGAGCCTGCCAACATTCAGCAGGCTCTGGGGGGGGAACATAAGGAAAAATGGCGCGAAGCCATGGACAGAGAATTAAAGGCGCTGCAAGAACGCAACACCTGGAAAGTCGTGCATATCGGAGTAGCACGCAACAAGACAATTCTCACGGGAAAATGGGTCTTCCGCGTGAAAACAAAAGCCGACAGAACAATCGACAAATTCAAAGCACGCTGGGTCGTGCGTGGCTTCGACCAAGAGCAAGGACGAGACTTCATGGAAACATTTGCACCAGTTAGCCGACATACCTCGCTGCGGATTCTCCTCGCGATAGCCGCCATGAACCAGAAGAAACTTCGACAAATCGATGTCTCCAACGCATTCCTCTACGCCCCCGTCGATGCTGAGATCTTCGTCGAACTCCCACACGGGTCTAACGCAGACTCCAACCAAGTCTGTCAGCTAGAAAAATCACTGTACGGCATAAAACAAGCCCCGAGACTGTGGCAGCAGCATCTTCACGCCCGCCTAATCCGCATCGGATTCCTCCAACTACCGCACGACCAAGGGATGTACCGACTCACGAAGGGTACTGACTATATCCTACTCATCGTCTACGTAGACGACCTCCTCTACATAGGCTCCACCGACACCATAACGATCTTGTTTGAAGGGGAGCTGCAGCAGGATCTCACACTCACCGTCGCGACTACCGTGACACAGTACCTGGGACTCAACATACAAGACGGCGACAACTCAATCTACCTCAGCGCCGAAAAGTACACGGACACCATCGCTAAACGATTCGGACTCACTCCAACTACCATCACTACGCCATACCGCTACACCGACGGAAATCGCAAAGTCTCCGCCCTACTCAAACCCGCCGGCATTCGCGACCACCAACGAAAGTTAGGTTGTCTACTCTTCGCAGCCGTCACCTGCCGACCGGATCTATCTTACTCAGCCAGTCAACTCGCTACCTACCTCAAGAAGCCTGAAGCAGAGCACATGCTGGAGCTCGACCGTGCACTTCACTACCTCGTCAGCACCCCGACGATCGGACTAACCTACCACAAGACCGGAACCACGACACCTAAGTTAATCGGTTACGTCGACGCCGATCACGCTGGAGACTCCAACAATAGGCGATCCCGAACTGGCTACATCTATCGAGTACTGACAGGTTACACGATGCAACTTGGTAACTGTCGAGTAGAGCAATAGTCGCGGTTACTGTAGCAATGCAATACAGTTAATAAGAGAATGTACCCCTCATAGCACATGGCTAGCTAGGATTGCTATGTATATCCTTATACTCCTATCTTAAGATCATCTTGTTCTCTTTCAACTATTATTAACAAGGTCATCACAAGACTTCATTGTCTTCTTACAACTTAGAAATTCTTATCTTGTCGACTACGATTCCCGGTTATATCAACAATCTATTGCATGCTCTCACACTTCTTATATTCAGGCCCTTAGCTTTGACCTTGCCTAGTTATTTGCGATTGAAAGAGATACTATGCATCAGATGTGTGATTTTGTTCTGGTTTGTAGTGACTGTGTATTAACGAGGCAGCTGATAGGGACCAATGGCACTTCCTGATTTCTTCCTAGGGCAGGCAGACTAGCACGAGGCCGCTTGAGGTGTTGTCAAGAGGGTGCAAAGCGATCAGATTTGGTTTGACCCGATCGACGAATGGCAGCCATCGAAATCTCTTGGAGAACTGCTGGAAGGGAATCCTGCCCTCCAGGGCGGAAACTGTTGCGTTTGAATTGGCATGAGGAAGAGGCTCCAGCTTGCTCTTGTAGCTGGCGCTTCGTGTCCCTCCTCCAAGGGGAGAGATGCATGGTTCGATTTGTGGATTGAGGGAGTAGCCGATGCAATGGGGTGCGGAGTCTTTGCGGTAAGCTAGTTACTTCGCTGTGCAGATGCATTTTGTCAGAAATCTTGAGGACGAGGAGGCTCAGTGATCTGTGTGCTTCCATAACTTCGTACAGTGAAGATAATCGTGTGGTTACTGACTTGCCCAGCAACGTTCAGGTCTAAATAGTTTAGGAGTGCATTTCTTCACGGACCCTCTTCGACCGTCTCCTTTCATGCTCAGTACACCCTCTTTCTCGCCATACTGACGTCCGCTATACTGACTTCCAGAGTGAAAAAGCTCGGTTGAGGCTGGTTGATTAAGGTTTCGGTATGGTTTATTTGGGCAAATCGAATAGGACAAGGCCAGCCTGCCAGTTACGCGCGGGTCAGTGTAGCGAGAAACAGGGTGTACCCTTTCCAGAAAGGCACGGTCGTCTCTTTTCACCCCGGTATGTCCAGTCTGAGCGAAGACCACAAAACTAGTACATGTAACGACGTATCGATGGAGATCGGATGTGATATGCTCATTAGCATCATCGACCACAAGGCGTCCACCCCACGGTGTGAATTCGATATGAGCCACTCAACTCCCTCCGCCCATCTTCAGCCTCATCCAGGCCCATGGCGCGCCAACCGCGTTCACCACTGCTAGGCGAGGGGGCGAATGTGCTCAGAAAGGGCCGGGGTAGCGCGGAATGCGCTGTACCGTCAGTCACAGTACAGCTTGACCCGGTGCGGATTACAGAGCTGGTGCGAGTAATGTATGGGGACGCCCTACTAGATCGAGGCTGGTACTTCGCTCTTGCGTTCATTCCGTTTGCTCGCTGATACACCGGCGGTAATTAAGAGCGGATTGGAGTGGAAAGGTATTCAGAAAAAGTTGACGTCAGGGATGACGTTCACTCGGAGGATACAAGGCCTGCGAAATCGCTCATTGGCCAATCTTCGCATCCCCGCATTGGTGGCTGCTCCCTTCGGATTGGCCAGCAAGGCCAGTCGAACCGACAGGCTCGATGTGCAATCTAAGGAATCTAAGATCCTCAAAGCGGGCCAAATGCCGAGGTTAATTGAGGCGCTAGTGCGATTTTTGAGTCAGACTCATAAGTCGGCTCGATGTGGGATGTAAGAATCTAAGATCCTCACAGTGCGCCAATAGCGAGGCTAATTGAGGCGTTACAGTGCGCCAGGCTGTGCCATGCCAGGGTACTACTGTGCCTTCGATGTTGACTTCCGCTCTATCCCATCCCATAGCGCCGAGAGCAACTGAGAGACTGAGATGCCAGGTCCCACGGCGGTGCCGATGGCAATAAAGCTGCGGGCTTCGAATCGATCTTCAGTTTACCCGTTCTACCCTCCTTCAAGCGTTTAAGCGCCACTCGAGTTTCTTCCGACGCCTACAGGCACCACCACCCTCGGTGATTGCAGCTGGTTGAAACGCGAAACGCGCATATAGAAAATGGCGACGAGCAAGCTCATCCGACCGAGCCTCGACGTCCTCCCACGGCAATCGCGGGCTGTGCTCGCCACGTGTCACACGGACCAGGTTCCTTTCTCGCGCCGCGTGCACGACAGCCGCGCAGATCTCGATCTGCTCGCGCTGGAAGGCCGGCTCTCGCTGCTCGACGCGCAGCGCGAACTCAATGCGATCCGCTGCGAACAGTTTGTTACCATGTTACAGTCGTTCGTGAGCGAGGGAGAGAGCGGCGGCGACAACTCGGAGTTGCGAGATGAGTGGGAGCCCGAGTCCGGCAGAGAAAGGAGAATGGCGACTCGATACAGTCATAGCCAAGCAGCGGCAGTGGGGCGGGGCGACATCCCGCGCGCGCATTCAGCGCCGGCGGAGATGGACGCCCAGAGAGTGCCGCGCAGCACCCGCCGCAGCAGCAGCAACAGCGGTCGCAGCGCCAGAAGGCAAGCGATGGCCGCTAACCGCCTGACGCGGTGGGCGTCGTGCGAGCAGCGCTGGAATGGCGGCGACGACGAGTGGTGAAGCTGCCTGCGCTGCCCGTGCCTTCTGATCGTGTCCCCCATCGCGCCGCCGCAGCGCGCGCAGCTGTACATAACTCGCTCCACACGCCGTGCAAGGCTTTTTTTGACAGTATTTTCCAGCATCGATGTAGCTGAATGCTGAGAATGGCTGTATATCAGTATTAATATTATTTGATACTTTGAATTGAAACGTCTTATGCTTCATGGGTAAACTGGTGGCATGACAAACCATGAGTTGGGAGAAACAAGCACTCTTCAATGTAAAAGTACAACCAATGTCATAGCATCTGAGCATCTGAGCACCATTGCTGGCGCGACCCCCCTTCCTCCTCTGCTGTGGAAAAGTGTCATGGCTGCTGTCAGGCTGTGTGCTCCGCTGCCACCAGCTAGCTAGGCTCCTTGTCGTTGCAACGTTGCCTGATGTCCAAAACTGAGCAACGGTATGTAAAGTTGCGTTGCGTACAACCTGAACACGGCTAATGGAGTCAACCCTCCATCCACGGTGTCACACGCATCAGCTGAGCTCCCCAGTGAAGAAGCTAGCGACATCGGGGTTATCGCTCTCCCTCAGCTCCCCCGGCGGCCCCACCTCCACCACGCGGCCCTGGCTGAGCAGAGCGGTGACGTCCGCCACGCGTTCGATCTGCGGCATGCTGTGCGACACCAGCACCACCGTCAGCCCCTCCTCTCGTCGCAGCCGCTCTATCGTCTCCTCCACCTTGCGCGTGGCTGTGGGGTCCAGTGAGCTCGTGGGCTCGTCCAGCAGGAGAACCTGGGGGGAGTAGGCGAGGGGGCGGGGCGCACGATGGAGGTGTTTCTGATAATTCTCACAACAACGCCTGCAACACCTGCAACAGCAAGGGGTCCAGCGAGCTGGTGGGTAACAATCCAGCAGAGCAGCACCTGGGGCGAGTTGGCGAGGGCGCGTGCGATGGACACGCGCTGCGCCTCGCCGCCCGACAGCTCGTGGGCGGCACGCTGTAGGAAGTCGGCGGACGGGTCGAGCCCTGCGCGCAGCAGCAAGCTCTGCTGCTCCTCCACCCCCACCGCCACGCCCTGCAGCCCCGGCCCGTACCTCACGTTGTCTGCCACCGTGCCTGGGGGAGGTGAAGGGGGGGGTGGGGTGGGGGTAGAGGGAGGGGGGAGTGGGATATTGGGCGCGATGGGGGGATGGGGAGAAGATGAGAGGGTGGGTTGTGTGCAAGTCTAGGTGAGTGACTGACAGCGGCGACGAGGTGGGAAGAGGAATGACACAGAGGCAGGTGTGGAAAGGCATGGTGGAGATGAGGGCACAACACACATGCAGGCGAGGGGTTAAAGCAGGGGGGTGGGCAGGGTTAGTCCCAGAGACGATGGAGTGCAATGTGGGTGCGAGGCGAGCAGTGAGGGCGAGGGCACATGCAGAGAGGGGCGTTGACTTGACGAGAGGTGGAGAGGAGAGGACGGGAAGGCGAGAGGGGCGGCATCAGAGGAAAGGCTCGGAGGGGTGGGGAGGGGGGCAGAAGTGGAGTTGGGTGACGAAAGAGGGGCGGAAGGGGAGTTGGGACTTGGGGGGGTCGAGGGGGCTACCGGGGAAGAGGTGCGGGCTCTGGAACACCATGCCCACGCGGCGCCGCAGCTGCTGCACGTCCATGGTGGTGACGTCACAGCCGTCCACCCACACGGTGCCACGTGTGGGCTCCCACAGGCGGTTGATGGCGCGCAGCAGCGTGGACTTGCCGCTGCCCGACGGCCCTATCAGCCCGAACAGCTCCCCGCGCGCCACGCGCAGCGCCACCCCGTCCAGGATCACCGCGCCCGTGCTCGCCGCCCTCCGCGTCAACCCGCGGATCTCGATCTTCGCGGGCGCCGCCGCCTGGGGCGGTCGCATCGCAGGGGAGGGGGATGGAGGGGGAGGGGACGGGGAGGGGAATGGGAGCGGGGGGTGTGTGGGATGGAGGTGGAGAGGGAGGAAGGGAATGAGAGGGGCATGGCAGGAAGGGGGAGGAAATGCGGCGGCGACGAGTGAGAGGGGCAGGAGCTTGAGGAGGGCCATGGCCGTAGGTGCTGCCGCTTCAGACGGGGAAGCATGCGCGCGCTCGGGGAAGCATGTGCGCGGGGAAGCATGTGCGCGGGGAAGCAGGTGTGCGAGGCCCGAGACAGCAGTGGAACGCGAGCGAGAGCGACGGGGCAGCTGGAGGCCCAGCGTGCGACTACCTCACACCGTGCATGCGATCGTCGCCGGCCGTGCGATTGTCGCAGTCGCCAAGGCGAGTCACAATGCCGTCGTCTGGAGTCGTCCGCGTCGCTCAGCTGCGGACGCAGCGACCCCAGCCGTCCACCCGCACGCGCGGCGCTCGCGCTTAGGAGTTGCGCCTTCCACGAGGTCGCTGGCAGCGGGCTGCGCGCGCCCGCGACGCCGCCGCTCATGGCGTGCCGGTGCTGGCGCGCGAGCTCGGCGGTGGCTGCCGCTGCGCGGAGTCGAGACGCGAAGGAACGACGGTCGAGAAGACGGGCGCGATGGATGGAGGGAGGGAGATGCGGAGGACGCGGGAGACACGGATGGCGAATCGACCGCAGTGAGCGGAGGCAGTGACGCCGCGGAGAGAGAGAGCGCTGGAGTAGAGAGCGTGGGACCAGAGAGCGCGGTACGGAACAGGTGTAGCGGATGGCTGGCGCCGTGGTGGCAGTGGAGAGGAGAGCTGCGGGAATGTGGGCCAGAGGGGGCGCTGAAGGCAGGGAAATCAATGCCGATTGTGCTGTACAGACTGTGTATTATCGCATGCATATGATATGTCTGATATAGCGTGAGCATTGAACGACAGCAGATACCATACTCTGAATTGCACGCCTTGAGCTGTCTGCGAATGTTTCATTTGTATTTTCTCAACGGGATCATACCTAGGTTACAAATACTGCAAATCATTTGTTGAAAGGAACCAAGCAATGCCACAAACGAGTCACAGTCGAGCCACAAGTTAGGCACAAGCGACGCCGCAGTACTTGCGACCGCCATGGATGCGGCGCGCCGCGCTCGAGTGCGCCTAGCGCCGCCGGGTAGATCGCAGCGCGGCGAAGGCGGCGGCGCGAAGCCAGGCCGCGAGAGCGCGCGCGAGCGGGAGGCGCGGCGGCAGCAGCTGCAGCGGTCGCTGGACGAGGCGCAGAAGCCGCTCGCCGCCGCCCTCGCCGTCGCCTGGAAAGGTGCCGCTCCTCCCCGCTTCCTCTTCCCCTTCCACTTCACCCTCGCCTCGCAACGCCTCTCCCCGGCTGTAGAGAGTAGCAAGAGAGGCAAGGATGGGGAAAGGGAGCTGGGCGGAGTGTGGGGAGCGGGAGACGTGGTGTGTGGCGGTGCTGCTTGACGCTGGGAGCTGCCTTTCTTCCCCCCCTCTTGCCCCACTTCTCCCTCTCTCCCGCTCTCTTCTGTTGTTGTTGCCTTTCTTTTCTTGCCTTTCTTCTCTTTCTTGTGCCGCATCACACTCATTACATGTTGCGTCTGAATTCATGGCATGGCTTGTTGGCATGGTGCATGCATGGGGCATGGTGCCTTCATGGGGCATGGTGCCTTCATGGGGCATGGTGGATAGTGCATGGAGCATGGGGCATGGGGCATGGGGCATGGGGCATGGGGCATGGGGCATGGGATGTCATGGTGGCATGGCATTATTCACGGGTGCATGGGTGCATGGGTGCATGGGTGCATGGGTGCATGCCAGCAGGACCTTTTCCTCCAGCGACCACGTCCGCACGTCCCGCAACCAATGGCAGCTGTGCTGCTGCCACGTGGCAGGGAGCAGCCCCATGGCAGGACACGTGGCAGTGGCAGTGGGCGTCCCAAGACCCTGCTCTGCACAATCAGCTGCTACGTGGCGTGCAGCGATTGCTCGACTTCGTGGCGGCCAATGAAATGCCTCTCTGGAGTGACGTTTCATGCAGGCGAGTAGTGAAGGTGAGAGGGGCGGGCTGCCGGCATGCCATTGGTTGGCGGGTCAAGCAGAGAGTGCTTGCGTGCTGCTCCATACCCTCTCTCCATGCACGGAGTGTTTGGGGAGTGTGTGTGCGTGTGTGTGTGGGGGGAGTGTGTGTGTGGGGAGGTGTGTGTGTGGGGGGAGTGTGTGTGTGGGGAGGTGTGTGTGCGGTGCAGAGTGTGTGTGAGTGTGTGTGTGGGGAGTGCATGCGTGCCGCGCCAAGTATTCTCCCCACATCTCAGTGTGCCTGGCTGCTCCCTCCCCCACCTCTCGTCCCCCTAGCCCCCCTCCTCTCCCGCCCTCTCCAATCCCTTTTCTTTCTCTTCCCCCCACCCTGCCCCTTCAGTCGCACTACGAGGCGTGCGGTGCGGCGCTGCTGCATCTCCTGGCATTCCATGCCCCACCAGCGCTGCAGTCGGTGCGGCAGGCAGCGGTGCGTGTGTGTGCGCGCATGGCCACTGCAGGGGGGCGGTGGTGGCGGGAGAGTGTCATGGGCGCCCTGCTGCTCGCGCTCTCAGCCTATGTTGATGCGCCGGGTAAGTGGGGTGGGACGGTTGGAGCGGGTGAAGGGGGTGGGACGTCCTGTGCTGCCTCTCTTGCGTTGCCTCTCCACTCTGTTCTACATGCTACCCCTTGCCACCACCGCTGTGTGCCAAGCACCACAGGCCCCTGGACCCCTCTTGCCATGTTCCCATCCCGATTTCCCTGTTCCCTTACCCACCCCATGTGTTGCCCGCCTTCCACGCCCTCTGCTCACCTTACTCAACTCAATTCAGCATGCCCTGTGCTGTCTCCTCCCCTGCTCACCTGCACTACCCTGCCCTGTGTGCCCTGTGTGCCTTGCATGCCTCATGCCCCGCGTGCCCCCTGCACCGTGTGCCCCGTGACACCAGACGACCACGTGGTGCTGGACGCATGCACTGCCCTCACTGCCTCGCTCCTCGCCCTGCCTCCACAACCTCCCTCCCGCCCACTCTGCCACGCCCCCATTCCCACCCTCCCCTCTTCTCTCCTCGCACCCCCGCCCACCATGCTCTCCCCTTCACCCCCGTCTGCCTCGCCCCTCGCACTGCCGCTCGCCACCGTCACACCCCCCCTGCTCGCCTCACTGTGGCGCCTCCATCTCTCGCCCTCCTCAGCTGCCCCGAGCACCAATGGCGGGGAGGGTACGAAGGGCGGCAAGGCCAGGTGTGGTGGAGAGGGGAGGAGGGGAGGATTGGTGGCGCGGGCAGCAGAGTGGCTGTGGGGGGCAGCAGGCACGGGGGATGGGAGGGGCGTGGGAGGGGAAGCAGTGGTGGGGCCGGAGGGAAGGGAAGGGGGCATGGGCGGGGCAGGGGTGCATGCTCACACCGCCACTGCTTCAAGCGGTGGGGATGCGTGTGGAGGAGTGGTAGGAATGGATGGAGGTTCACAAGCGCATAGCAGCACGTGCAGTAGTAGCACACCCACAGATAGCAGCAGGCTGGGCGACAGCAGCAGCAGCGGGCGTGAGAAGAAGAAGAGCAGCGACGATGAGCCCATGGCCCCGTGGAAAAAGAGGCAGGCAGCAGCAGTGGCAGCAGTGCTGCACGTGCTGGTGCTGCTGCTGCAGCGCTGCCCGGCGGGTGGCCGGGAGGTGAAGAGGGAGGTGCTCGGCCTGCCCGCACACCTGTCAGGTGGCAGGGGGCGCATGGCGCAGCTGGTGGGCATGGCGCAGCTGGTGGGCATGGCGCAGCCGCATGGGGCGCACATCGATGGTTCTGCTGCTGCTGTTTCAGAAGCAGCGTTGAGCCTTCTCAGTGCCATGGGTGAGCGGGCCATGTGACTGCTTCTCATTCTTATGCTTTCTGTATTTGTTTCTAGGTAAACTGGATTGACGTGGGTGCACCCCATGTGCACCCCATGTGCATCTGGGCATGATTCAGCAAGTCTCTTACTTGTCTGTGTACCACCATCATCTCCACACAACTCATCATCTCCACACAACTCATGATCTCCACACAACTCATGATCTCCACACAACTCATCATCTCCACACAACTCATCATCTCCACACAACTCATCATCTCCACACAACTCATCATCTCCACACAACTCATCATCTCCACACAACTCATCATCTCCACACAACTCATCATCTCCACACAACTCATCATCTCCACACAACTCATCATCTCCACACAACTCATCATCTCCACACAACTCATCATCTCCACACAACTCATCATCTCCACACAACTCATCATCTCCACACAACTCATCATCTCCACACAACTCATCATCTCCACACAACTCATCATCTCCACACAACTCATCATCTCCACACAACTCATCATCTCCACACAACTCATCATCTCCACACAACTCATCATCTCCACACAACTCATCATCTCCACACAACTCATCATCTCCACACAACTCATCATCTCCACACAACTCATCATCTCCACACAACTCATCATCTCCACACAACTCATCATCTCCACACAACTCATCATCTCCACACAACTCATCATCTCCACACAACTCATCATCTCCACACAACTCATCATCTCCACACAACTCATCATCTCCACACAACTCATCATCTCCACACAACTCATCATCTCCACACAACTCATCATCTCCACACAACTCATCATCTCCACACAACTCATCATCTCCACACAACTCATCATCTCCACACAACTCATCATCTCCACACAACTCATCATCTCCACACAACTCATCATCTCCACACAACTCATCATCTCCACACAACTCATCATCTCCACACAACTCATCATCTCCACACAACTCATCATCTCCACACAACTCATCATCTCCACACAACTCATCATCTCCACACAACTCATCATCTCCACACAACTCATCATCTCCACACAACTCATCATCTCCACACAACTCATCATCTCCACACAACTCATCATCTCCACACAACTCATCATCTCCACACAACTCATCATCTCCACACAACTCATCATCTCCACACAACTCATCATCTCCACACAACTCATCATCTCCACACAACTCATCATCTCCACACAACTCATCATCTCCACACAACTCATCATCTCCACACAACTCATCATCTCCACACAACTCATCATCTCCACACAACTCATCATCTCCACACAACTCATCATCTCCACACAACTCATCATCTCCACACAACTCATCATCTCCACACAACTCATCATCTCCACACAACTCATCATCTCCACACAACTCATCATCTCCACACAACTCATCATCTCCACACAACTCATCATCTCCACACAACTCATCATCTCCACACAACTCATCATCTCCACACAACTCATCATCTCCACACAACTCATCATCTCCACACAACTCATCATCTCCACACAACTCATCATCTCCACACAACTCATCATCTCCACACAACTCATCATCTCCACACAACTCATCATCTCCACACAACTCATCATCTCCACACAACTCATCATCTCCACACAACTCATAATCTATCTGCACCAACCCACCCCCCTTTCCTCGCAGCGCAAGACCCCTCCATGTGCCACCTGCTGCTGCACCCGGCCTTCCGCCTCCTCCCTTCTCTCACCCGCCACCTCTCACCCGCGCCCTCCTCACACTCCTCCTCCTCTTGCCTCATCACCTGTCCCGCCTGCCGTCGAGCCGCCCTCTCGCTTCTGCAAGCGCTCGCAGTACGATCCTTCCTTGCCATGCACGTCCCTCGGTCATCGAGCATTTGTCCCCTGGATGCATGCTGCTCTCGCTCCACCCCTTTTCTCTCAGACGGTCCTTCATGTTCTATGAGAGATACAGTCATAGAAGTAAATGGGGTAAGATTACAAGGCAACCGTTACCGTCTCTCTGTCCCTCACCCTTTCCCCCTAATTCCTCTCCATACCCCGTCACATCACATCACACGTGTGCAGAGCCACCCATCGTTTGCTGCTGCCACGCGTTGCACTTCGCCCGCCACCACCACTGCAGCATCGCCCCTCACCCCCCTCCTCACCTTCGCCCTGCAAGCAGCCCGCACACCCCTCCCCCTGACCCGCTGCCACTGCCCCCACCCGCCCTCCCTCCGCCTCATCTCATCCTCCTCTTCGCCCGCCAGCTCAGCACGTGATGACTCAGTAGCCAGCCACGTGGCAGCATCTGCTTGGCAGACCGCAGCGAGCCTCCTGCGCTGGCCGGGTGGCCATCATGACCCGGCCGTGCTGTGGGCGGCAGGCTTGTCTGCATCTGTGCTGACGCGTGCACTGCTGGGCGGCAGGTTGTATGAACAGTCAGGACGTGCAGAGGGCAGCAGCGAAGAGCAGATGGGTATTCGGGGGGGTGACGGCAGGGCGGGTGGGGGGGAGGAGCAGGTGGGAGGGTCGCAAGTCGTCATGGCAGCAGCGTGGGAGGCAGTGAGGTGGATGGCAGCATTCTGCCACGTGGCAGTGTGTGACTCAGAGGGGGGTGTGACTCTAATGAAGGCGAAGGAGGCAGGGCATGTGGGAAGGCAGGCGAGAGCGAAGAGAACAAGGGAGGGGCGGGCAGTGGTGGCGGTGTGGGGCGAGGAGGGGGAGGGTGGGGGGGGGGAGCAGTTGGGCATGCAGGCATGGAGGCGGTGGCAGCGCTGGCATGGTGAGAGGCGAAGGGCATTACCAAAGAGTGAGGTTTTTGTGGAAAGTGAGCCGCTGAGTGCAGTGCGGGTGTGAGTGGACCCGTAGCCTCTGCCGCGCGTGCTCGTGCTCGTGAGGCCAAATGGGGATGCTGTTCGCCTATTCTATCGTCCACCTCTGCAACCTTTTTGCCCCAGCAGCACTGCACTTGCCATCACTCTTTTTTAGCACCTCTTCTCCATCTCTCTCATCTGTCTCCCCCACAGCCTGCTACTAGCTTTAACCTTCGATTGCTCCTCTCCCCCCAACCCCCTCAACGTTCTTCCCACATGCAGCGCTCACCTGGTCGCACTGCTCGCTCCCTCCTCCCACGCCACACCTCACCCCACTGCTGTCTCCACCGCACCCTCGCCCGCACCCACCACCCCCCTGCACCCGCCCACGGCTCACGCCCTGCTCGCTGCGCTGCTCGCCCTGCTCTCCTCTCCCTGCCCCGCCCTCGCCTCCCTCTCCCACACCGCCCTCTCTCAAGCACTCACAGCAGCCATCACCCGCCCTGCCACCTCGTATGAGGTGCGGGGCACAGGAGGGGATGGGAGTGAGGGTGGTGAGCGCGCAGCAAGCAGGGCAGCACCCAGTGTCCTCCGTGACCACAGCAGCGCTGCAGGGGAGAGCAGCAGTGGCGGGTGCAGGGCAGAGGGAAGGGCATGGGAGGGCGGCCACGAGCCTAGTCTGAGTGGCCTGGCAGCGGCTGCTGTGCGCCAGGCCTCCCTGGCGTGCCGCCTCTGCTCGCGCTCCGCCCCTCGTCACTCCTCTGCAGTATTTCTCACTGCTGACATGCCAGTACAGGAGGTGAAAGCTGCGATGAAGCTGCTGGTGGTGGCAGCGCTGGCGTGTGATGGGCGGGGAGGGGAGGCAGTGCGGGCGGAGGGGGGCGTGCAGGCTGTGGGACTCGTGGTGGTGGCACGCGTGGCTCTGTGGACCAAGGGGGGCGCAGGGGAGGGCAGGGGCAGGGGGAGGAGGACATGGGGGAGGTGAGGGGGTGGGGTGATGATGGGAGGAAAGGCGAGGGCGGAAGGAGGTCAGGGGAAGGCGAGGGTTGGGCAGGTGGAGGGAGAGAGGAGGGTGGGGGGGAGGATGAGTGGGGATGGGATGAGGGGAATGAGGCGTGGTGGGGGGAGGGGGAGCTGGAGGGAGGGGAGGACGAGGTGGTGGGAGTGATGGGGGGCGGGGGAGGCGGGCAGGCCAGTGGGGAGGCCAATGTGGGGGTGGGTGCTGACATCATGCTGCTGGCTCATGAGTGGCCGGACATTCCTCATGCGCCTTACTGTGCTGACGTCACAGCATGGCAAGGCGCTGACGTCATCCTGTTCTCTGCCCTGACAGCCCTTCTCGCCCTCCTGCAACCCGCACAGCCGTTACCATCGCACCCCTCATCCCCTCTCTCCTCTGCCTCCTCCCTGCCATCCCTCACACCCACAGCAGTGCCACCAGAGTCACTGTCGCCCTCCCCTTCTTGCGCCCTCCTCCCTGCGTCCCTCATCCCCTCACTCACTCGTCTCCTCCATCCCGCATCGCCTGCCGGTCTGCGCTGCCTCGCTGCCCGCTGCCTCTCGCTCTGCCGCTCCCTGCCCCGCCCTCCCCCACACCGTGCCACACTGCCTGCCACTGCCCAGCACCCCTCTCACCACGCGCCCTCGGCACACAGTGAGCCCCCCTCACTGGGCCTGCCGTCTGCTGTTGGTCGTGACATCTGCTCTGCTCTCACCTACCTCTCCCCTTCCCCCTCCTCCGCCTCCTCCCCCGCCCATGCCGCCTCACACGCTCACTTCACTCCGCTCACACCATCCCCAGCCAGCCCCAAGGCGCACGTGGCGTTCGTCCTCTCGCACCCCTCTGCACCCACTTCCACCGCTGCCGCCTCCCCACTACGAGTGGTGGCACATGCAGCAATCATCGCTGCCCGCTGCCCCGCCCTCCTCTCGCCTCTGACCGCGCCCTCTGCCCCTACCCACGCCTCCCCCTCTGGCCCCCCGCATAGCACCCCCTCTCTTCCTGTTCAGGGAAAGGATGACGGGGTGAGTGGGCAAGGGGTGGAAGGGCGGAGAGGAGAGGGGGCGGAGGGAGGCAGGGGGGTGGTGAGGGAGGTGCGGCTGGGGAGGGGTGTGAGTGCTGAGACGTTCAGTCAGCTCTTGGAGTATATCTACACGGGACAGGTGTCGCTCTCTCATTGGCCGTCCAAGGATCTGCTGCAGCTGGCCAAGAAGTGCCTATTGGATGGGTTGGTTGCACTCCTCCGATGTGATTGGCTGATCTGGGACCGCGATGATGCGATGGGGTGTGATCTGACGTCAGCACTTGGTCCTGCTGGGCTGCCTTGGAGGTGAGGCATGGTGGCATGGGGCATGGCAGCATGATATGGCGCCATGGCATATGATGGGCCCGCCATAGTTCACGTGGCTCGGTGGTGTATGACAACATGCAGCATACAGCACACACACCACATCGTGCTGCTGGTCACTCCTCTCTCAGCAGCACCTACATGCCATGTGTCTGTGCTGTGCCATGCACACCCTTTCCTCTCTCCGTCAACACTCCAACCGCTCGTTATTCTCACCACCTCGTCTCACCTCTGTCTCCCTACATGCCTGCCCCCGCCCGTGCATCTGCCCCACAGCGACATTGCGCTCTGTGTGCCATGCGCACGCCACGCTCCCCAATCCCCCGCGCACCAACCGCCCGCAAGCCGCAGCAGCCGTGGGGGAGAGGCGCAGCGCGAGGCGTGCGGGGGCCCAGCCGTGGAGGGCAGTGGCGAGGAAGAGGGCGGGCAGGGGGGCGTGTGGCGGTGTGTGCGGGTGGCGGCACACCGCTGTGTGCTGGGGGCGCGCAGCCAGTACCTGCACGCCCTGCTGCACTGCGGCATGCGTGAAAGGTGTGGGAAAGGGGAAGGGAAGGGGGGGAAGGGACACGGGATAGGCGATTGAGGGGAGTCAGGGGGGTGGACAGTGGGATGGCGGATATGTAACGGGTGGAGTGCTTCTCTCAGTGCACAAGAGTCCGCATGCTGCTATGTCTGCCCTCTCTTGTCGTCGCTCATCAATTTGCTCTCGACTCATTCCATTCGTGGGCGTGTCTTCCCCTCGGCCCCTATCTCTCTCTGTGCGCCATGCCTGCCCTGCAGCTCTCAGCACGAGGTGCATCTGCCACCGCTGCCCCTACCAGCGCTCATCGCTCTCCTGTGCTTTCTCTACTCCGCCCGCGTCTCCTTCCTTCCCCTCCCCCTCTCTCCCCATGCCACCCTCACACCCACCAACCTCAACCACCCAACCCCCACCACTGCTGCTGCGAGCCCCAGCTGGCATCACCGCGCTCCTGTGCCAATCTCCTCTGTGCGCCTGCCCCCGCTCACGCTCACCACTCGTCTGCTCTCCGCAGTGCACCTTGCATCGCTCGCCCACCAGTGGATGCTACCCTCTTTGCACCATGCTGCCTTGTGCTACGTGGCAGCACGCCTGCGTGCCACCTGGCATGACCCAGTCAGCGGCGGGCCGTGTGAGAGTGCTGTTGACTGCAGTGATAGCAGCAGCAGGAGCAGCACGGGCAGCGCCGCCGACTCTGGCACGGATTGGGCCCGGGAGGGCCCAGTGGCACCGTGGGCGGCAGGGGAGGCGGTGGTGCGGGCGGCATGGGCGGCGGGGCAGTGGGAGATGGTGGGGGAGGCGGTGAGCAGCCTGGCGCCATGGTACCCCGCCATGCGCCGCACCGCCTGCCTGCACCGCCTGCCACCGCAGGTGCAGAGCGCTGTCAGGGAGGCGCACGTGCGCTTGCTCACTGCTCCCCCGTGACGCTGCCTGCCTGTGTCCCTGTGCCCTCGTGAGCTGGCTCGAAGGCATTCCGCTCAAACGAGTTGCCGAGCTTGGTGGGCATTCGCTGCCGATACACGGCAGGGGGGGGGAGGGGGGGGGGGGGGGGGGGGGGGGGGGGGGTGATGAGTGCCGCAAGAAGGAAGGATGAGTGCCGCAAGAAGATGAGTCTCCAAAGTTTCAGAACGTGAAGATGAGTGCCGCAAGAAGGAAGGATGTTGGATCTGAGCTAGTTCGGGACATGATCTCCGCAAGTCTGCACGAATGTGTGGCATGGCATGGTTCTAGCCAGGAAAACAGAGCCTGAAATCAGCTATGGATCCAACCCATTGTGAAGGAGGAAATGAGTGACGCATCTTCGGATCGCAGACTCTTGAACCAGTGTTCATAGATTTTCCCCAGAATGAGGAATGAACGTGTGAGACGTTTCAATAAATAAATAAATCGTACAGAGATGTACACAAATCCAGAGTGGTGGTCATCTGGGTTGCATACACAGCAGGTAGTATCGGGTTTTATGACCCGTTTGAGTATTTAGAAAGCTCTTCCGGAGTATTGTTTGTGCATGGTGGCATTAGGAGAACACGCATCAGCGCTGCGCCTGGATGGATGTAGTCGGCACGCTGACTACATCCATCCAGGCGGCGGGCGGAGCGGGTATGTACAGCTGCTCGGACGGCGGCGGCGCAATGAAGAATAGGTTTCAAATAATCAAAAAATATATTTGATATTCAGATTCAGCCATCCTCAGCATAACATAGATGCTGGAAAAACGCCGAGCACGGCGGGAGGAACAAGGTATGTACAGCTGCGCACACTGCGGCGTCGCGCTGGGAGACACGACCGGAACATCGCTGCGATGTAACACGGGCAGCGCAGGCAGCTTCACCACTCGTCATCGCCGCCATTCCAGCGCTGCTCGCACGACGCCCACCGCGTCAGGCGGTTAGCGGCCATCGCTTGCCTCCTGGCGCTGCGACCGCTATTGCTGCTGCTGCGGCGGGTGCTGCGCGGCACTCTCTGGGCGCCCATGTCGAGCGGCTCTGAATGCGCGCGCGGGATCTCGCCCTGCCCCGCTGCCGCTTCGTGACTGTGACTGTATCGAGACGCCGTTCTCCTTCCTCTACCCGACTCCCAGTCATCTCGCAGCTCGTCGCCGCCGCTCTCTCCCTCGCTCACGAACGACTGTAACATGGTAACAAACTGTTCGCAGCGGATCGCGTTGAGTTCGCGCTGCGCGTCGAGCAGCGAGAGCCGGCCTTCCAGTGCGAGCAGATCGAGATCCGCGTGAGTACCGCGCTCGCGTCGCGAGAGAGGAACCTGGTCTGTCTGACACGTGGCGAGCACAGCCCGCGACTGCCGGGAGGAGACGTCGAGGTTTGGTCGGATTAGCTCGCTCGTCGCCATTTTATAAACGCGCTTGTCAATCAGCTGTTAGCACCGAGTGCGGAGGGAGGTGGCTGTTGACGTAGGGTGGAAAGAAACTCAAGTGACACTTGAACGCTTGAAGGAGGGTAGAACGGATGTAAACTGAAGGTTGGGTTGAAGCCCGCAGCTTTATCGCCATTGGCACCGCCGCGACACCCGGCGTCAGTCTCAGCGTGAGGGGATGGGATCATCCCTCTATGATAAGAGCGCAAGTCAACGTCAGATAATCACAGCCTGGCGCACTGTAGCGCCTCACTTAACCTCGCCGTGGTCCTGCTACGCGGCGGATCTTTTAGATCGCACAACGAGCCTGTCGGTTCGAGCCGCCTTCCTGGATCAATCTGGGAGCAGCCACGAATGCGGGGATGCGAGGGTGGGCCAATGAGCGACTTCGCAGGGCTTGTGTCTTCCGTGTGAGCGTTATTCCTGACATAATCTTTCTCTGTACACCACTCGCTCTTAATTACTGTACTGTATCAGCGAGCAAACGGAATGAACGCAAGAGCGAAGTACCGGCCTCGATCTAGTAGGGCGTCCCCATACACTGCTCGCACCTGCTCTATAATCCGCGCCAGGTCAAGCTGTACTGTGACTGACGGTACAGCGCATTCCGCGCTACCCCAGCCCTTTCTGAGCACATTCGTCCCCTCGCCTAGCACTGGTGAACCCGTTTGGCGCGCCATGGGCCTGGATGAGGCTGAAGATGGGCGGAGGGAGTTGAGTGGCTCGAATGAAATTATATGTGGGGTGGACGCCTTGTGGTCGATGGCACCCGTTCTAGTCAGCAGCATAATTACATCAGATCTCCATCGATACGTCATTACCAGTGGTGTGGTCTTCGCCGAGACCCAGACTTCAAATTACTGTATGGGTTGAAAAGAGATTCCCTTGCCTTTCTGGAAGGGTACTGAACGCGAGGGAGACGATCACTGGTTCCGTGAAAGTCAGACTCAGAGACCACACGATTATCTGTTCACTCCAAATTGGGCCATGTCCGAGTTCCCACGCTCAAGATTTCTGCCAAAATGCATTCGCACAAGGCAAGGGTCTACACACCACACCCCATTGCGTTGGCTTGCTTGCTTCCACACCACAACTACCACGTCAAATCGATCCCGCCGCCATGCATCTCCTCTGCGAGAACGTGAAGCTCGGCAACTGTACCGCCGTGATGTAAACTACTGTAACAACCTTTCAAGCTGGAGCCTCCGCAAGCCCACTCAGACGAAACAGTCTGCACCCGGTAGGGCAGGATTTGCCTCTAAACAGTTTCGTGATGTATTTCGTGGCTGCAATTTGTCGATCGGGTCAAACCAAATCTGGTCTCTTTGCATTGCACCCCTCAGCACAGCAACACCTCCTCAACTGAACTCGTGCATGACAGCGGGGTGTTGTTACGAGTGCAATTGAATGAGCGAGCGAGGATTGCACTATCGAGACAAGAATACAATGAGCGAAGGATTGAGCGAAGAATATATAGCGAAGCTATAGTGGTAACGGTAGCGTGTGGAAAATGGGGTGCGCGACGGGCCTAGTGCCGAGGTTGGGGGACTGTCGAGGCGGAGGTCCGGAGTGCGGGTTACCAACCGAACCATGAGGTTGGGTCGCATCGTGAACAGTGGCGGGAATGGGGTCGAGGCGAATGTTGCGAGTGGTAACGGAATATTGTGGGGTGCTGTTGGCGGGAACAGGTGTACGCGCTGAGCAGGGACGCGAAGTAAGGAAAACGATTTTTCCTTACACTACCCCCCCCCCCCCCTCAAGGAGGCCTCGCTTACGAGAGCGCGTGTATATCTCGGAAATTTCGGCTGCGCTGATACTCGTTGAGGACGGGGTGGTTTTCGATTTTGTCCAGTGGAACCCAATTGTCCTCGGTGGGCGTGCGGTCTCTCCAGTGGATTAGAATTTTGACCCTTCGAGCTCCTCGTGGGTCACGAACTCGGTGGCTCAGGATCTTCTCGGGCATGATGACTGGTTCGGTTGATGGTCGTGTCATGCTGGCTGGGCGATGTCGGGCCAGTTGGCTGGTGGATGGAATGTAGGGGCGAAGCAGACTAACGTGGAAGGATGGGCTGACGTACCAGTCTGCAGGGAGGAGGAGCTGGGCGGTGACGGGTGTGATCATGTGGCTGATGCAGAATGGCCCGCAATATCGGGGGCGGAGTTTCGGAGTTATGGGCAGGCGGAGGTTTTGGGTGTCGAGTATAACTAAGTCGTCGGGCTGGTACCGTCATACCCCGGATATACCCCCATGGGGGGCAATAATAAAACAGGTTTTTTCAGGGGGGTGGGCTTATAATCGAGTAAATTTATAAGCGCCGGCGTTTATAAAATGACATATATATTTTTTCTATTTTTTAACACCAAACTGTAGATCTCGTGCTTGCCTTTCCAATCGAGTCGAAGTTACATGGGGTCGTCTGTGAAATTCTCGCGCGCGCTGGGAGATACACCCAATCTGACTCACATCCAGCTCCTGACAGCTCCTGACAGCTCCTGCTGACTGGACCCGCATCCAGTGCAGGGTCCGAATGTGAAGGGAACCGAATCTGCAACACATCCGCCTGCTAAAGTAAACATCGTTACAGCATTTTGAACACATTTCAAAATTTAAAGTTTACGTGCGCTTATAATAAAACAAGTTTTTTCAGGGGGTGCGCTTATAATCGAGCAGCGGATATAAGCGCCATGCGCCAATTAAAAGCGCCAGGCGCTTATCCGAGGGTGGCGCTTATATCCGGGGTATGACGGTAAGTGACGGATCTGCGGTGGCGGTCGGCGTTGCGGTTAACGATGACGTTGGCCTTTTTGATTGCCTCTGCTACCCTGGTTCGTGCTGCCTGTAAAACTTCTGCGAATTGTTGCGCACGTGGTACTGGGTTGTCGAGATTCGGGGTCATGGGTACTGTAGGGTCTTGTCCGTAGTTCAGGTAAAACGGCGACTGTTGGGTCGTGGCGGATGGTGAGTTGTACGCGAATTCGATGAGTGGCAGTTGCTGCTCCCAGGTGGTCGGGTCATCGCACGTGGCTCTGATCAACTGTTCCATGGTCTGATTTGTCCGTTCTGTCTGTCCGTCGGTCTCGGGATGGTACGAAGAACTGAACTGTAGTCTCGTGCCGAACTGCTGCCACAGGTTCCGCCAGAAATTGCTGGTAAATTTCGTATCGTGATCGCTGATGATTGCTGCTGGTATCCCGTGTAATCGAACGATGGTTGCGATGAAGAGGCGTGCCGTTTCTTCGGCCGTGATTGATTTTTTGCAGGCTGCGAAATGTGCCATTTTCGTCAGCCGATCGACGACGACCAGGGTCGCGTCGTTCCCACTTGCTCCCGCCGGTAACCCCGTGACGAAGTCCATCGTCACCTGCTGCCAAGCACGCTCTTGGGGTGGTATCGGCTGCAACTGTCCTGCCAGTCGCTTTCGTGATGACTTCATGACTTGGCAGGTGGGACACGATGCCATGTGTCGCTACACGCCGGTCAGCATTTCGGGCCAATAATAATACCGCTGCAGCTGCTGCCGTGTTTTTTCTACTCCGAAATGTCCTGAGGT